ATAGATGGCATAATTTCTAATTTATTACTACCGTATTGTCGCCAAGTGTACTTTTTAATAGATGTACAAGTTTTCGGTTACGTCAGTACGGCGTTAGTCCACCATAACGATCTTTCAAATACGCACTTTCTCCATTGTGTGGAAATAATAACGTTCGGTGTCAATACTACCTTTGGATTAAAAGAGACACTCATTTGGGTGTGGCATCACGACGGCTTCATAGCATCCAAGACAGTCCATGGTCAAGCTCACCGTGCTGATTTACATTAACGTAAGTAAAACGTTGTTTATAATGTTTTGAGTGATTTGTTTATGGCGAGTAACTCATTTACACATTTAAACCGGTCTGTCAGTATGTAAGAGTGGGTATGCACTCACAATCCTACTACAAGTATTCGCTATACATGCATCAACAAGGCTATATTGGGCATTTTACATTTTTGCCTTGAGGTCGACTTTGCTGCGAATGGGGAACTTCCTGCTGCTAAGTCGAATAGATGGGATGTTATCAACATACTTACAAAACGAGACCACTTATTTTCTAAGACAAGAATTGTGGCCGCGGAAGCATATGAATGTACTAGACGAGCACCTCTGCCTCGAGTGCGATTGCTGATTCTGTAATATCGTAGACCGATATCCGTCCAGATTTTACAATCATTAGTAATGCGTTAATCATTGTTTGTCAATATGGATGAAACCTGCAATTTCTCACACAGCAAACATACAAGATGACGTCTGAAATGTGTGCACTTGTGATAGGTCGCCGGTCCGGGGTCATTGGTTCAATTCAAACTACGACAAAGGACCGTGACAGTATGATCAGGCGGTCCACTATGTTGCCCTAGTCTATTACTCATGTGTGTGTAATAATGTCATTTACCTGCTAAGCACGAGAGCTGATAATTTGTTAATTAAGGGTCATAGGCTTCTATCTGATGAGCAATTACTTATTCTTGCTTACTTTCTGGAGACCAGCAATGCCTTAGATATTTATCACATTTGCCGCCGCAGCACCTCACTTACAGTAAAGTGGGGAAATCAGTGCATGTAGTTGGTGACGCACAGACGTGCAGTGTGACAGGAGAGGTGATTAAGACTAGAATTTGCGTGGAAAAATTCACGTGGAACCACACGTGGGTTGACGCAGAAGTTCGATGCATCTAAGTGAAGTGTCTGTCACGTATATCCTCAGCTACTATATCAACTCTGATATCCCCAACTTTTCTTAAGCAGTCATCTAGATTGCCTGAAGATGTCTCACCTGGCACCCTGCTCAGAATTCTTTTCATGAATCTGATGACTGTTTATCAAGTGCTTGTACAAGTTTAGGGTTCAACTAGTAGCTGCCCACTCATATTTGAATCCGTCAATTGCAGACCTGCCCCGATCATTCGCACTTGACATTCATCTTATTCCTTTTCTGAGTTTGCAACTTGTGTCCAAACTTAGCTTGCCATCTTTGTCGTCAATGGTGCTGGTGGCACCGTCTGATTGCTGAATGATGCTGATGACAAAGTCGACAGACAATAACTTTATGATGACATCGGCTCACAATCCAGTATGCTAAATGTTTTGTAAGAACTCATTAAATCTGGCACCAAAAATCTGCTTACCAACATCTTCAGAGATTCACTTTCAGCCTCCCAAACAGTAGTAAATGAGCTGGAATGGGACACCAAGCTCAATATAACATTTACAATTGTAAGAAACTTCCGCATTATGGCTGGTTGCCACGACAGCAATGTGTAAAGTTTGATGAAAGAACCAATGGGCCATGGTCCGGGCCGAGTCTCGATCCGTGACCTGGACCAGCTGGGTCAAACATCGGCACGACCCCACAACCTCTGGTCTGCGTTAGGGCCCCACTTGTGGATACAAAGAATATTGTTATTATACGCACACAACATCAAATCGCAAACGTTGCGCTACACATGTACTCGTGTTCCGGATGATTCATCCGGCTTCTTTCGTACCACGCTCAGGGCTCGGCAATATGCACAAACGAGTGCAGCTCGCGGGCAGATCAGAACAGATTTTTGGCACGCCTTCATATCCATTGCGATCCTGGTAATCCAGACTATAAACGAAGTGTAAGCGTTATCGAGACTCACGTCTTGTGCTTATGATGCAGATCATTCTCAGCACTTTCTGGATCAATCGTGAGCTTCATATTCTTCCAGCTCGCATATAGTATATTATGGTATTGCTGGCTTATCAACATGCAATCTCTTACATGCGCAGCCAACAACTCTCCGCATCTCCTACAGCTACGCATACAAGTGCTCGGAAGCATAATGTTGACATGCATCTTACTCCTTGTAAGTGCTTCGAGAACGTTTAGACTGCAAGTGTCACGAGATCACCCCGTGTCAATTCAAGGTTGCGCAGCAGTACGACTATAAATGTCGAGTATGCAGTATCACCGGCCTTTTGTCCGGAGAAAGCGACGCGGGAAAAGGGAACATCGTCGTACTGAGTCTGCAAGCGGACGGGATCCATCAAGTAGTGCTCAAGTGTCAAAAAAGTAGAGTATCACCACAGCCATCAGGTTTAGAAGGAGGCGGTTTAATTCGTGAAAAGCTCGTGATGTTTTATCACAATGAGGATCGCTGTATCAATTCAACGTAAGGGTAAAATGGAATTGTAAAAGTAACTTGTTTAAGATCGATCGAGGTGCTTGTCGCTCATTTACCCGGACGATCGACTTTATCGGTAACATATGCAGCCTCTGTCGTACACACGAAAATGTAGCGCGTTGTTAAGAACATTAGTAAGCTCATGATTTACATTATAAGATACAGTGTCTCCTAATTTGCATCGAGCGCCATAGCCTCATGCTGCCAAAATGTGCCACCGAGCTTATGATGATATGACAGCTCACACATTTATATTTTTGTGGCTACTTCGCAAAAGAGGGCAGAAGAAGATCATGTATACGGAAGCCTAACTTTTACTCGACTTCCTAAGTCTAGAGTTACTAATCTGACCTGGCAAATACGCGCTACACGCCGATAGAATTCTGTCTGCGCTCCTACGTACTTATGGGTAACGTCATTCGCGCTCCTGAGCGCAATAAGATTAAACAATGTATGCATCGTGGACTCGTGCAACGGCTTTCTTTTCCGGATTTCGATCCCAGCATAACTCCCTGGACGTCAACCAGCTCGTCTCCGAGAAGGCGATTTGGCCACGGTTTCTTACAGCTTAATGGTGTTCTCGGTCTTTGCTTGTGGGAATACACGGCTACTTGCCTTCGTCATGTTCCTATCCAGTCTGCACTTGTGGTCAGCGTCACGTAGGTGATCTTCCGGCTCGTCAGAGGTACTTGATTGATTGCGTCCCTTTGTAACGTAGACAAGAATAATGGGCTCACCAACGAATGTAGCTGCTCAGCCTTTCAGCAGTTCATTTAACATGTTCCAATGTTTTGCTGCACCCAGCGTTTTGTACTGGTCGCATACGCCTGCAAAGGTTCACGTTTAAATGTATCTGCGCTTAGCCATTATGCAAGCATCCCTTTTAAAATCAACGTTCTTGAAACCAGAGAACTAATGCACCATACTAGTACTCGCTACCATTCAGAATTTTATTGCCTACGTGTGTATTCGCCTATGCTCTGTGCTATAACTTGCTTGGTATCAAACGAGGGCTACAAAGCGATAGCGGTACATATCCTGCAAAGTCTTCGTGGAGGTGAGCTCCCCTTTCATGTGTTTGTTGTTCTGCGGCCCCAATGTATCTGTGTAGGACATGATCCATTTTACTGTCGAGAAATGCTGTCCCAAGGGTATCAAGAGAGAGTATTCACGCATAGCTGCCATGCTTGCTGTCTTCCTTTCCGATGGTGTACACAAGTTAACACTTCGCGCAGGCTAAACATTTTAGCGCATGTCTATTGTTCCGCAATATGTAAGTAGCTGCATGAACATCAGAGTCATAGCCGGATGCGTCATTCGACGGGTCTAGATGTATCTCTGTCCGGTTGGTAACCGGCAGCATGCAAGTGGACCGGGGATGCGATAGCTAGAGTAACGCTCGACCACATGCGTATTGATCTTGTGCCTCACCAATACATACGTAGATTGGGATAGCACAGCTACATGTAACGCATGTGGACGAAGAATGCCAACGGGTACATCAGAGAGTCGTGATCCGTGAACATTGTCTACTACGCTTATGCTGTATTCCTTACATTCCATTTTGATCCTATGTACTGCTCGAGTAGTTCATTACGACAATGGAGCAGGTGTGCTCAACAACACTGATACTGATTGAAACAGTCCTGCAGTCTGCCTGGATCCGCCTGTTTGCTATTGACTAAAAAGTGATCGTAAGCAGCACGCATGGAGTAAGGATAGCGCTGAAAGATGTGTGATTTCCCAGCGGGCTCTGCACGTTTCGAGTTGTTGGGAAAGTGTCCTAGCACTGCACCACCGGTAGAGCAAGCAGAAGACGGATCTTAATGGTGATCTTGGGATCGTATGAAGTACCTTTCAATCAAGCCCACCACCAGTATCCACTAAGTATAGCGGGGGTAGAGCTGTCGCTGTATCATGATGCACAATATGTCGGCAAAGGCGCGCTAGTTACCACTAAATAGAAGCAAGTACTCGTGGGCTCGGGGCAGTGCCACTGCTTTGGGTGATCGCGAACAGAGCGTTGCGGTGTTGGGTGGAGGGAGACAGGGCGTTACAAAGAGTTCACATTGCGACCAGAGTTCCGAACTCGCTCGATTGATAACTTGAGAAACCAGGTCAATGATTGACGCTTTCGTCTGTGTGCGTGTGTAACACACCAGCGCTTCCCACCGATATGGATGGACTAGTTTTGTACGATCATTGTACATGGGATTGCTACAATCACAAAGCAGCGCATAGCATTAAACGGGCTCGAAGTTTAGTTTTGCCTATCGACTGATCCTCTTCGCCAAGAAGGTATGGCAGGATGAAGTGGCAACCTGGTTGCAGCTTCTACAGTCCTTCGGTCGTTTATATATTCTAGACGGTATCAACGCGTTGCGACTCATGCTGAGCAAAGACTGCGGCTGTCAGGTCAGCAGCAGACTTGTCTTTGCCCATCATCAGCTACGCTCGAACCAAGTACCGTTTCCATATTGGCAGTGCACGGCTTTCACAACTTCGTATTGTTGACTAGAAAGAGAGAGACCTGTCAACAACACCCGGACTGTGTCCAAACGCAAGCGGAGGAGAGACTAGGCACGGGCCGATGTCGCCCATCTCACGTGGCGAAACATTCGGAATGTATTTCGTTCGAAACAGGAGGGACTGAGCAATCTCGACAGCGTCGTCAGTCTTGTGCCCTACGAAACAAAGCAAGGACACGAGGTACAGCTCGAAGCAGTCACCAGAAATCGGTTCCGATGGCAGAATCATCTTCCATGGCATCATCCCGTCAGCTTGGCCCTCGTCCATTCATTCGGGGAACGTCTCACTTGACGTCCGCGATCCTCTCAGGTCAACAAAGCTACTGAAACATCCTCATACTCGCTGCATTGATACACACAACCAACGCTCCATTCAAACCTGCTCTCCAGCTCCACACTTTCGCATTATCCACAAGGTGCCCGAGTGCTCTCGTCCTCCATCACCCACCTGCACACTTGTCCAGATCTCTATGACTATCCTCGGTCTCGGTCTCATACTAATGGCCACGGCCGTGCCCATGCATCTCGCTGATCATGTGCCGCCCTTCCAAGTACCCACGTTTAACTACGGAACTCTTTTGTCCGGAGACACGCCCCACGACGTCCTCTCCGCCCTCACCCAGGACGGCATCATCAGCCTCGACAACGTCCCTTCCTACAGCCAAGTGCGTCGCTCGTACCTCAACGCGGCTGCTGCGTGCGCCGTGTCCGCTCAAGAAGTAAACGCCGCGTTTCTGCTCCACAAGACGCTGAAGGATGGCACGAAGCGCTACACAATCAGCACGGCGTCGGGGCAGGATGCCGATGCCAATTCCACCATCACCGATGGGGCCTGTCCCGGGTACAAGGCCGTCTACAATGAGTTTTCCGCCCTGCTGGAGCTCGTGGTGCTCCACGTCGCAACCGCTCTGGACGCCACCGACTTCACTACGACCGACGGCTATGGGCAGCCGATCTCCAGCCGCAAACTCGTGACGGATGCCGTCCGTCTCGACCATTTCCACGCCTATGAAGCGCCTTCCCGGAAGGAACGGAGACGCCTGAGCACCGGCTCTGGTCCGACCCCCACCAACTCGATTCAGGGTGACGACGACTTGACGATTGAGCTGCATGAGGACAGCGGCATGTTGATCGCGTTCGCCACTCCAGCTTTCTACAAGGTCAGCAAGGACGGCACGAAACGGACGTTCGAGACCGTGGCAGCCAGTGGCGAGGACGACTCCGAGTCGGGTCTCATCATCCAGACCCGCGACGGCCAGCGCGTGCGGCCCGTGCTGAAGCCGGACCAGGTCACGCTCATGGTGGGCACAGGTTACAATCTGTGGGTAGACGCGTCGCACCAGCTCCCAGCCGTGATGCACGCTGTACGTATGCCCGAGGTCGAAACGACGTCGACGCAGCGATTGGTACGCGCCTGGTTCGGCAAGATGACGTTGTTACCGTCGTATCAACGCATGTCGAAGCAAGTGTACTTTGACGGCTACACGAATCTGACTCGCGAGTACGTGCAGAGCGGGTACCAGGTGGACCATCACACGGTCGGCTGCGCTCCTGGTCGTCGCCTGGTTGCGACTGCAGAAGGTGAATGCACGTACCTGTCATGCACGCCGAAGTATGGGCTTGGACCACCACTTGGTTGCGAGAAGGCCTGCAATCATGGGGAAGAGAGGGGTTTTGGCTGTGAACTCCTGTGCACCTGCAAAGAGGTTGCTAGTAAGGCAAGCAAGTGCTGGCAAGTATGTGTGAAAGACCTCACCACCTGCGGCGAGAAGAAGCAGGTGTGCTCGGGAATGTCCAAGAAATGTGTGTAGGAAGAGTCTTTCATGCATATAACGCGCCAATATGACAGGACTAGTTGGTCGTATTCCTGAAATTTGGGATCGGTGAAGCGAAACATCGATGTTTGATATGCCTACTATGACACGTTTGGAGGCGGGGGGGGGAGAGCTCAGTGTGCTAAAACTCTCGACACGTTGTTTAGAGTGGAGCTACCGAGCAAAGCGTCCCTCCTGAGCGTGGCACATGAAGTGCGCGGAGACAATGGATAACTTAATGGCTGCACGAGTGCATCTTGGTCACCAATACGTACCAAACCGCATTCTAACGATTCTTCAGCAGACTTAGAATACACATCATCGTCGCCGTTATGGAATAGCGAGCAGCGCCTTTTCGAGGAAATCCCAAGCCACTCAGAGTCGTCATGTAATTACGCTCTGCGTTCTCAATGGCTGGCTCTGATGTCGTCTTCTCTGCCTTCCTGATAGGTGAACGGATCTAGTGATGATCCTCACAAGTCCTCGATCGGAGTTAAGTCTAATGGCAACGCCATCACATCGACTCATTGGATTCAGCGATGTTCCTTCGCGACTCTGGCACTGTTCAAATGAGTTGCTTTGGTGAACTTGAAATCGAGACCATATCGTAGATGCACGAAGGACAAGAAGCAGGTTACGAGTGTGTGGTTGTGGTTGTATGTGTTTCGAATATCCTCTAAGAATACAAGAGCTCATACGTACTGATGACACTCCATACCCCCCCCCACACACACGTAAGTACGGCTTAGCTGCCAGACTGCGGCGTTTTAAGAATGTCCACGTCTTGGCGGTGACCGGGTCGAAGCACGATAATCTAGGGAATCGCGATCCACCACATGTATGAGGTGTTAGATGTTGGTAGCTCTTGCACTTGTGCAAAGGATGTAGGAAGTAAAAGTGAAATATATTGGGTGCTAACTATTCTCCCTAGTCAACCCTATTTGTATGTATTTGCACCAGCACTGCAACTTGACCTGGTCAAGTTGTACTTTGGCATACGTCCAGCGTGCCCATACCATGTGCTGGTCCTGGTCCCATATGACGTCTGTATGTCTCTGTCTCTCCTACCATCTGCCTTTGATAGTCCGACATGACGATCGTCTTCTCGCGTCCCATATGTCAACCTGTCTCGTCCCATCGTCAACTTGTCGACCAATCAGGTGAGGTCGACCTAAACCTGTAACAGGTCTTGCAGTTGCCTCTACACCGACGTAACCTGTTAAAAGCTATATCTTCTAACATGAGGTTATCTACGATTCATGCAGACACCGTAGGCTACGTGCCATAGTTTGCAGTTAGCTGGATTTTCAAATAAGGGTACACATTGACATAATTGGCCCCATAAGGCGACACTTGGCCCCATAAGGCGACACTTTGCACTCCTCTCATACATTTCGTTCGATAGATAGTTGGGATGTCTGACAACCGCCTCGTCTTGGCTCGTTCACCTCTGCCAATGCACGTAACTTACCATTTACCTCATACGCATGAATGCTTTGATCCCACAAAACAAACAGCTCCACAGGAAGGAAAAATATACGTACTAGAACAGGGACTGAGTCTCGGTGGATGATGTGCGTGACATAATGACTAAGCGGGCCAATGACTCGTGTTTCAAGTAGCTGGCACACAAAGACGCCGAGATGGAGAAGGTGTGAGTACAGAGTAATTGTTTGACGTGAAAGGATTTAGTGGTAAAGTATAGATTGTGGTGCAGGACATCGCGATATTGCCATAGATAAATCAAATAATAGTGGCGTTTGAAACAAGTGAAGAATGAAAAATGAAGATGCAGTTATCATCAATTCGTTGCTGTCGACATTCTGCGGTCGAGCGACTATCGTTGATGCAACAATCTTGTAATGAGAACTTGTGCAAATTATAAGCTGATACTACTAACGGCGTTTGCAACCATGTAACATTGCGTTGGTTATCTTCCTTGTGTAGGGACCAACCTTGAGGTCTGCTCGGAATCGTCACCTTGGGAACGTCACGGGCGTTGCATTTGTGACTATTACCGCACGATTTGCAGCCAGCGGGGCACTCTGCTTTGCGTTGTCATCCGGTTCGGCGGAGAGGCAGGTTAATCTCATACGTGCAAGCTCTTTGCTTTTATAAAAGCTACCATACGTAGCATGCAGAGAGAAACTTACGATAATGAACAGGAAAGCATCGAGTTGTCCTTGATCACTACCCATAATTTGTCGTCTATATCGATCCGGAGTCAAGGTAAAAACGAAGGATGCCGAGCGCTGCTACCATGGCCCAAAGGCCATAAACATAGACCAGTATGATGTATCGATGTATCGGCGAAGCGTAGGGACCCCGTCTCTTTTGTCCACTTTTGACGGCAGTGAGCGTCGAGGGTTGACTCGAGTCAAGCGGAAGTTTTTTTCGTTTCAGGTGAATATTGCATGGCTCGGTACGGACGGACGTCTCTATCTATTCACGACAGGATCGATGCAATTGTTTGCCCGACAAACGCTTCGTACACCGTCATAATGGTTACGGACCACCTGTCTCCTGGCCCTTTGCATCCAAGCGAATGAACTCGAGGCTCGCGAGTGCGATGACTAATTTGGGTGATAAAAACCATAATATTCGGGTAAAATATGTTTGAGTATTGCCGAAGTGAATGGTATAAAGTGCACAAGACCCAAGTCGTCATTATGAGCCGTTGGCATCTTTTTTAGTTTTACCGGTTTACAGGGGAAGATTGCCAGTGCTTCAGTCTATCAAGTACCACGGATTAAAACACTTCACATTAGGTGTTTGCCAGAAGTGCTAGAGTCGCTGCCAGTTAGTGTTGACCATTTGTTTGATGGTCCTCAATCTGCCCTTGATCGCTAGTAAGTTAGTTACGTGCGGGCATTGGTGCGTGTGTGGCTAGCACTTTCTATGAGGTCACTATTAGTAGCATAGTCGTAAAGCTGCATCGACAATACGTACTACCCAAATGGACAGACATGCAACATAGTACAACGTCTGAGAATCACCTAGCGTACTAGAAAAGAGAGAGAGAGACACACGCACACAGATGCAGGTAGATTGTCAAAGTTCGGTGTTCATCTTACACCCAGTTGCTACTAGCTTTCAACCACTTCTTAGCGAAAGTTACAGTGCCGGGAGGTCGATTCTGATAGATGAGATGAGAGAACAGGTTAGCAGACATCTGCTGTCGACCATTTCCACAATCGCTGCACCACTTCTAAATGGTTTATAGCCACGATTTAGCAATGACTCTTCCCCGCTCCTGTTCACTGAATGCTCGGCACGACACCGCGCTTCTTAAGAGAGATGTTGGACAAAGGTTCAAAAGAACAGTCGCACAGCTCAATCACATCGCTCACTAAACACACTTCTTACCCATGCCAGAACACTGCTGCGATCCCCCAGCGCAATCGGCGATGTCTGCTACACACGTAAACCAACACTTGCTCCCTGTCACCTTTTGCCCACTGCACGAGCAATACTTGGCGCATTCCCCGCCAACAAAATGCTCACTATTGCACATCGTGGTGCAACCAGGTTTCGGCTCATCCGACGGATTCTTCGGATGGCATACGTTAGACATGCATACATCACCCGCAAACGAAATCAGGCGACGACCGGGAGCGCAACCGACCGCGTGATGGTCCACTTGGTACCCGTTCTGCACGTACTCGCGAGTCAGATTCGTGTAGCCGTCAAAGTACACTTGCTTCGACATGCGTTGATACGACGGTAACAACGTCATCTTGCCGAACCAGGCGCGTACCAATCGCTGCGTCGACGTCGTTTCGACCTCGGGCATACGTACAGCGTGCATCACGGCTGGGAGCTGGTGCGACGCGTCTACCCACAGATTGTAACCTGTGCCCACCATGAGCGTGACCTGGTCCGGCTTCAGCACGGGCCGCACGCGCTGGCCGTCGCGGGTCTGGATGATGAGACCCGACTCGGAGTCGTCCTCGCCACTGGCTGCCACGGCCTCGAACGTCCGTTTCGTGCCGTCATTGCTGACCTTGTAGAAAGCTGGAGTGGCGAACGCGATCAACATGCCGCTGTCCTCATGCAGCTCAATCGTCAAGTCGTCGTCACCCTGAATCGAGTTGGTGGCGGTCGGACTAGAGCCGGTGCTCAGGCGTCTCCGTTCCTTCCGGGAAGGCGCTTCATAGGCGTGGAAATGGTCGAGACGGACGGCATCCGTCACGAGTTTGCGGCTGGAGATCGGCTGCCCATAGCCGTCGGTCGTAGTGAAGTCGGTGGCGTCCAGAGCGGTTGCGACGTGGAGCACCACGAGCTCCAGCAGGGCGGAAAACTCATTGTAGACGGCCTTGTACCCGGGACAGGCCCCATCGGTGATGGTGGAATTGGCATCGGCATCCTGCCCCGACGCCGTGCTGATTGTGTAGCGCTTCGTGCCATCCTTCAGCGTCTTGTGGAGCAGAAACGCGGCGTTTACTTCTTGAGCGGACACGGCGCACGCAGCAGCCGCGTTGAGGTACGAGCGACGCACTTGGCTGTAGGAAGGGACGTTGTCGAGGCTGATGATGCCGTCCTGGGTGAGGGCGGAGAGGACGTCGTGGGGCGTGTCTCCGGACAAAAGAGTTCCGTAGTTAAACGTGGGTACTTGGAAGGGCGGCACATGATCAGCGAGATGCATGGGCACGGCCGTGGCCATTAGTATGAGACCGAGACCGAGGATAGTCATAGAGATCTGGACAAGTGTGCAGGTGGGTGATGGAGGACGAGAGCACTCGGGCACCTTGTGGATAATGCGAAAGTGTGGAGCTGGAGAGCAGGTTTGAATGGAGCGTTGGTTGTGTGTATCAATGCAGCGAGTATGAGGATGTTTCGGTAGCTTTGTTGACCCGAGAGGATTGCGGACGTCAAGTGAGACGTTCCCCGAATGAATGGACGAGGGTCAAGCTGACGGGATGATGCCATGGAAGATGATTCTGCCATCGGAACCGATTTCTGGTGACTGCTTCGAGCTGTACCTCGTGTCCTTGCCTTGTTGCGCAGGGCAGTTGTCGTGATCAGGTGTTTCAGTAGCCATTCAAATGATCTGTATCAGCATTTGACGGGAAGCTGTGCAGCACGGGCCACGAGTGCAAGTCTCAAGAGCGGAATCTACCTGATAAGATGAGCTTCTGACAGCTCGCGAATGAGGGATCAGTCAGCGGAGGTAGGGAGCTTGACGTCACCTACGCAAAATGCCACCTTTTGTATCGGTCATCGCTAATGAATGACCTTGAAAGCATTTGTGTCAAGGATGGTAGCGCGCTGGCGGTGAACATGGTACACAGAGGCTAAAACCGACTGTCAAGTATTGCTCGCGATCTCGGATTGAGTGATACACACGCTGACCGCGTGAATCGCGATCTGAGAATCGTGCCTTTCGACCAGATTATGATACTGGGATTTGCAAGCGTATGACGGATGCTCTTCTACTTGGTGGGATCGTTCTATTCAACAATACGCGGTCACAAAAGTCATGGACACCCCGACAGGAGCGGTACACGATGAGGGCCCTCGTGTCGAAGATAGAGCGAAAAGCCTGCTGTTGGCACGCGCGATAGGGGCCGCCTCAGCACAAGTAATCACGCGGGTCGCGACATGGTATTTCTTGCGACTTCGTGTACAAGTTTAAAGCTTTCGACGCTACAATCCGATCTACCGTTTTGCGATATGCCCCGGCGAAGGGAAGCAAGCGAGGAGCAGGTAGGAACCTGTTTCGTGCACGCATGATAGCACGCGATGGTGTGCGATGATAGCAATCACGCTGTACATGATCATACAAAAGCGATCCATTTCATGATGGTGGAAAGCGCGGATCTGCTCTCGTATGCGGTGGTAACCCACGCAGTGATGTTGTACCTACGAGCGCTTGGACATTCGTGTAGGGTACAATGCACGCCTAACTTGCGTACCGTGCAAACGATTCGACACGAGCTCTGACCCCCATTACAACCGTCGGCGGGGAGACTGATGACAGGCTTGAGCCATTAATAATCGGGTACGACACTGTCGACTATCATTGTATCGATCTATCTTCTGCGTATCCTCCCAACGGTACAATGCGCGCACCCGTCTCCAGAGCACACTGTGGAATTATAGCATTGTCTGGAAAACACACGCAGCACCTGACGCGGTCCCCGATTTGCGCATCTGGCACGGACCAGCATTTTCATACTCTTTCGAATCGATTGCCAGCAGTCTAGTTATAGCAGACCATTGGAGCTGATTTCAGGCAATCCCAGAGTGTGTGTACCTGAGCGCATCTGGTCGATTACGACACCCCGAACGTGCTATTGTGCTAGGCCGCGTACTGTTGGTCTCATCACTTGCCTAAAGGAGTGTAACGATTGACGCTCCAATATGAAAGACGAGAAAGCACAGAAAACCCCTCGCGTGAGCCCGTGACATACCTTGGGCCGCAAGTTGAAATCGAAGACGCTTCCAGTATTGACGATAAAGTCGTGAGTGTGACAGGGTTCCTGCTATTGACCTCTTTAAGCGTAGGTCAGGTACAACTGCTATCTATGAGGGACCAGGTGACGTACGTTTGAAGTCGTGCTCTATCAGACCGTAAGGCGCGTGGACGTTCATGCTACTGGAAACGTATTGAGGCACTATACGTCTTTGTCGGCTTGCTAATCGATCGTAGCAAGTGTATAGAACTATTACGCACGTCCTTCTGGTCCTACTGCTTGCTCACTTTCTTCCCGAACGAAATGCACAAGTGCTGCTGCATAACACGCTGTATGCATAATGATGCACCCCAGCAGCTCTGCAGGGAGTATACACAACATCTCCTAGCCAAGGACGTGTCAACAGCACTTCGGCATGACCAGTCTGCTCACAAGCTGACGGAACTGCAAGCGACGGATTACTCGACGGCAATGTCGACGCTAGGGCGCATCGAAGCGCACACTTCCAGCACTTCGTGGATCTTGTGGTTCTTAAACTCACTCATGATCGTTGCCTCGTCCTTAATCTTGTTCTCGTCCACTGCAACGTAAGCCTGCTCCGTCAAAATGTAGTCGAAACGAGGTGCCCACTTACGAGAACCAAGACGCGCCGTAGTCGAGCAGTTGTCCACCATGTAGGCGACACCACGGGCGTGCATGTACGGGTTCAAAGAGTCCACCGACTCGATCACTGACTCATTCGCGACCTCCGAGTAGCAGTGGCCGTGACTGATCAACACGTCGATCTGCGCCATCATCATTGCCACGTACGTACCAGCCGTGAATGGGTTCATCACGAAGTTACCATCACGCGCCGCTCGCACCTTTGCACCAACCTTCCAAGTGTACGTCTGATCGATCTTGCCGAACGGGAACCGGTCGTGACGAGCTACCGCGTTGTTAACGCTTCGGATCTCATTGCCACAGGCCACGTCATCATACACCTCTTCAATAATATCACGACAAGGGGTGTAAGCAGCTGTGTAAGCCTTTTCAAAGATCACCCGGTCTTCCCCCTTGAAACTCTCGTACACCGACTTGATACCGTCGTGCGAGATCTTCTCATTCAGCGGACCAGTGATACACTCGGCAGTGTTCTTAAAGGCGTCTTCAGGGCTCATGCCGTTGAGCATGTAACGGCGGAAGAGCGACTCAACGAGACCGTGCACGCCACCGAGCAGGATACAGCGCTCGCCGAAAATGTCCGACTTGTACTCGTCTGCCATGGTCGTGTAAAAGGTGTACGGAGCTCCCACTCCTACACTCCAGCCCAATGCAATCTCCGAAGCAGTGCCCGTCACATCCTGGTGGATGGCTACACTGGCATTGATCCCAGCCCCGTTCACTGTCTTGCCCTGCACGTAGAGCCGTCGGACACTAGGCCCCATGCCTTTCGGGGCCATCATGACCACGTTAATGTCCTTCGGGAACGTCTCATGGACTGACTCCAAATGGCCAAGTAAAAAGCCGTGCGAGAGGCCAAGGGTCGCACCCGGTTTGATCAGTGGAAAGATCTTGGGGTAGAGGTTGACACAGGCCGAGTCACTAATGAGCAGCACGACCAGATCCGACTCCTTAATGACGTCAAACATCTCGCCCAACGTGCCCTGATCCTCAGTGAACCCAGCAGCATTGGCCTTGGAAATGGACGACGAGCCTTCACGGAGCCCCACTTTGACCTTGATATTGGTCCCTTCAAGCGACTCGCTCAGATTCTGCGCCTGAGCGGGACCCTGCGAGCCCCAGCCAATGACGCCAATCTGCTTGATGCCGGCGAAAGCTTCGGGCAAGAGCGAGAGCTTGTCGCGACCGCCGGGTAGCACCGTCTCGGTGGTCTCAGCCATTTGAACAGTGCGCAGGTGCTCCTTGAAGACAGCGGAGCTCAGTTTGGACGCGTTGGTTGCGAACGAGCGCGACTGGCGCAGCGCGGGCGACGTGGCACGCAGGGCCGACTGGAGGAAGAGACGCATTGGAGCAGTGCGGGGGATGGAGGAAATTGCAGAGTGAGGAGCTCTTGAGTGGGTGGTTGTGGCCCAGTCACGGCCACGAGTCCCGTTTGCGCATACGATGCGCGGAGGTTAGAAATGGGTACAGGCGCTTAAGAAATGTATTATTGCACGAGGGGTGGGGACGAACGACCTGTGAGATGTAATGCTCTGCTTTGTGTTGGTGAGATGAGGGCAGGGATTAGGAGTGGGTGCGGGAACGTTCTGCAGGTGGCGATGGAGTGGAAGGTGGGAAATAGGCGTTACTTCACGATAGGGTACTGTATCTGCAAAAACGGTTTCTTGCACGCACATCACGTGCTGATAGAGTGGAACACAACATCGAGGATGGCTGCTTTTTTTTACAGGATTGAGGAAGCTCCGATAGCTATCGGTTCTTTACGACGGATGTCGTGATCTGAAGATCATTTGTCTAAGCTAGCAAGGAAAATGCAATGGTAGCAATCAATTCTGCACGGACGTATCGGTATGGGCGACGTTGAGTGAGTTTGATAAAGATTGACACGCGTAAAGACGAGGAGGTAAGGTACACCCGTCTCGATCATGCGGCAACAGTCTTTGCAGAAAATTGACAAGAGTGGCAGGTTGTTGTAACAACTGAATGGGTTGCTTTGGCCGTGGCTGCTTTGGATCGCAAGTCTTGATGCTCGGTTCATTTGCAATGTACGCGATCGATATAATTTGGATGCTGCCGCATCTGAGTTGCAGTCAAAAAGAGTGTCGTTTCTCGAGTGAGTTGGAGCCCGGAAACGCCTCGCTGTGTCGCACTGCATCGATAGTCCTTCGCGCTATTGTCTTCGTTGTCCCTGGCTTCCGCGACGGACGGTGTCTGATTAGGGCGCAGCACGCGTACGTCGATAGGACAAAAGGCAGCATGGACTGCGTGATCATAGAGGCTTTGAGTTGGGTGTACGGCACAACGGCGATAATGGCCACAAGAAAGTCTGCTCGGGAGGCAGGATACTAACAAGTTGTATGAAATGAAAGGTACGGGACCAATCAGAATATGCTGGTGCCCTGCTCACCGCTACGTTTCGCATTGGTGAGCACGTGCATGTTTGATTTTGGGCACTTGCTTGCTGAGTACAATGTTTTTCGATCTTGTTGTTGCGACAAGAGACTGACACTTCCACAACAAAGTCGCTCCGCCATCCGTTTAGGTGCAAATCCGCGCTAATAAAATGTAGCTGCGAAGACGCTGCTCACGATCATCTTTGTCCACCATCGACTGGTTGTCAGATGGATGAGGAAAACTGTTACAAGAAAGGATGTTGCACCATCTCTTTGCGATTCGGTCGTGAGTGCGGGTGACGCGAAGTTAGTGATATGTGCTAAGATGGCGTGGTGTTACGTTTCGAGCGTAGGACCTCCAAGATCGCCTGTGTAGACAGGGGATGACGGGATAGCAAGCTGCTGCTGTCAAGAAAGTTTTGTGTTGACTTCTTTCATTGCTGCAGAATAAACTGAAGATGTGTGCACACCAGCGCCTAACAAACTCGTCAGTACTACGTGACAGGTTTTAATCTCTCTTTCGCTACCTCGCGGCGAAAGCGGCCTGAGCTTACATGCAATTATCGGCATGCCAAACACCATCCGAACAATGTCCGCAATGCTTTAGCGTGACCAATTACATTCTTCAATCACACGAAGGATGCTTCATGTGATGTGCCTCATACAGTCATACAAGGTGCCGACATGAGACTAACAAACAGTCGTCGCAACTCTGTGATGCCCACAAAGAGCTTGCAGCCTTCCGACTCTCGGCTAGACGTTAACAATTAGCCGAGCAGGAAAAACTCTATTTGGACGAATGCAGTTCGTACTCTACTTTTGGTACCTCGTGGCGAAGAGCAAACGACAGCAGCTTCCCGAGCAACACCTCATGATTCTCGTCTACAACCGTGCGAGCAGACGAGTTGTAGCTTTTCGTCCTCAGCAGCTCCTTTGTGTCTTCAAATTGAATCATAGCAAGCAACACTGAACACCACCACCACCACCATAAGTCAGTCAGATCACCTTGCCTTGCAACAACCTTTTCCAACAACACTTACCTCGCATAGGCGCCCAAGCGTCTGTCGCGGCGTAATTGATCTGGGCCTGACTCAGCACTGGCGCTTCCCAGTCCGACACTTGCATCTCTTTATCAAGCGATACGCGCAGAAACACTTGACACGCTGTCTTCAGTCCAGGTCGCATGCAGCCAAGTTTCTGAGTCATATACAGCGTATCGACGGTCGAGTTCACGGCGTGGACAAGCCCCAACGCCGTCAATTGACGACAGTCGTCACTCAACGAGTGGCCGACTTTCAAGACGTCCGGGTCAGCAAATAGCTCCTGCAGCATCGGAGGCAGCGGGTTGCCTCGTTGCAATCGGTACAGAAACGCCCGTTCGAACGTACACACTTGAACCAGACAGACAGGGTTGCCCTTCTTCCCCTTTAGCGGGAAAAAGTCCGGTCTCGCCTCGGTATCGACGCCCACAACTTTCTGACCTCGTAGATAGTCAACATATTGCTCTTCCTCGACCTCCGAGTGGATCACTGCAACTTCACCTTCGAATACAAATCCCGGCAAATGTTCGTAATCCCCTAATGTCTTCGCTCCAAAGTGACGGAAGAGACACGAGCCTTCCCGAAACAGCGGCAAGTCTTTCACACGCGCATGGCGCGCCTTTTTCAGACGCAACATCCGCGCAAATTCTTTCTGCCGTTTCTTAGCCATCGTCCAATCCGGATTTCCAGCTGGTTTTTCGACTAGTGGAATCGAATGGCAGCGGCTGGAGACGGGCGGTGAGAGGGCCACTGTCTCAGTGGTCAGCGCCGCCCGGAGCCGATTGAGCTGCTGGCGCTGCTTCTGGCCTGCGGGAGAGATTAAAGCAGTACTTTTGGTAGTCACACGCTCCTGCTTGCTTGCAAAGGAGGCAGATGGCAGACGGGACGACAGCCGTGTACGTTGACCAATGCACGTGATGGACCGCATGCGTCGCCAGGTCGAGTCCTGTGTAACCTTTTATTTAGAAATGCGACTTGCTGGCGGAACAACGAAACTGATTGGACGAAACACCACCGGTCCTAAGACCGGTTGTCCGTGGAATAGGACCGTTTCAAAATGTCCGTCTGACCAGTTGTACCCCCTCGGTATAGTGTCACGTCCTCTCTCTAATCCCTGAAGTAGTGCTTTGTACCATGTTCGGCGCTGGCCAAGTGCTTCGGCCGGCAGAGCCGTCACTGCCGATCTTCTCGACGCGCGAGATCCGCTTTCGGAAGGCGCGTGACGCCAACACGCTCTTGTTCTTCATTCCGACGCATTCCAGTTTACTGCTGTCGCTGCTACGTCCCGTCTGCCACGCGTACGCGAAGCAAGATCGGCGTTGCTTACGCTTACTTCAGACGGTGGCCCTAGTGCCCAGTGGCAAGTGGAATCAGGTGGTGGGTACTGTAACCCAAGCGCTAAAACTGCCCGTGTCGCCACGGATTAAGGGCCAATTAGAAGAAAAGTTACGCCCGTGGGTTACAAAGTTACTGCAGGAGGGCAAAAGTCGTCCGTCCCTATGTTTGCAACTTAAGGAAGCCGTGGCTGATTGTTTACGTTGCTGGATCGATGATCCGGTTGAAGGCTTTGTGTTACGGAAAGACCATGTGGTTCAAGGCATGAGATTGGACGATCTCGTGGCTACACCTGCAGGCGATGGATACTTACGCGGATACCGTTCCGAAGACGGTTTCTGCACGGTTATCTACCCGTGGGGATATGGCATCGTGCATATTGACAAGGTGAAAAAAGTGGAGGTACCGGCTGAAAAGCAATTGAAAAAGCGCCTGTTTAACGAGTTTGATGCACTGGAACATGAGCTACTTTACGAGCGGATTGAGAGGCTGTTGGAGAATGCGCCGCCACCAGCACTAGAGAAACAGGATTCGGCGGAGAAGGAAGTTCGAGATGTCCGTGGTGGAGCAATAGCAGCGGGGGTTGAGCATTTTAAAGAGCTGCTATCGTCGTTGGAGGAAGAGGTGAGGTGACGGGTGGGAGGTTGCGGGAGGGGTCTGAGGGGTGGCTAATTTGGGTGTTGTCTTTTGTGTTTTTTTTTGTGTTGCAGCATGTGGATACGACAGTGCTACGTGGAGATCTGGGTCTACTGCGCCGCGTGCAGGCTCTAGTGAACAAGGTGAAGGAAGTTCGTCGTCCACAGACACCACAAGAGCCTGAGCGGAAGCAAGTGCGGTCACATGAAGACGTGGATGTGTTAGTTGAAGAAGATCAGGAAAACGTTGACCAGACGGCGCATATGCAAGAACAGTGTGAGGAGCCAGAGCAGTGAGGTAGGGGAAGCGGTGCAGCAGGAGCTTGTAAAGAAGGAGAACAAGGTAACTTTGTATGAGCATCTGAGGCAGAGGTGTGAAGCACGGAGGCTTGTGACAATTTTGCGTGTACCTTGTCTGGACATGGGACCAAGTTTCCACCACGCACGCGTCAGTTGATCTACAATCGACTACAGCTATTTAGCCAAGTCAGTTTGCTAGCCAGCGCATGGTCAGCTGTGTACTCCGTTATCCATAAAGTCTTCTTTCGTCAACCGTGTTGGTCACGGGCTCTTTCTTCAATCTGAAGCTCCGTCTCGTGTTCCAACTCACCGTATGGATATCGACAAACACATGGAGCTGCTCTTTCTGCCAGCACTATTTGCAGCTGTTTCACCCAATGCCAACTGAGAAGCAGATGGAAGACACTCTTTCTATCTGCAAGTTGCAGTCACAATCTAGCAGCTACTTCGTTCATGCACATGTAAAGCGCTCAGTACGCACATGGGGACATCAAATCGCACGGCTGTATTGGCTCCCTGCCGTGGACGATACAAGCTCTCGCACAAGAGCAAGGTCAGCAATTGACCGTGAACATCCAGCCGGTGACCATTTTCCGTAGGGTGTGGAGAAACATTTGTGTCAGCGTCTGCTCGTCGTCATCTGTTATCAGCTTCGATCGATCGATCGTTCCGGAAGCGCTTAGCAAAGACCGACGTAAAGCGCATGTGTCTCTTGTAGCCTTTGAGCAGCACATACGTAACGCTTTCAATCAACAGTTGGGGTCTACAATCGCATGCCCTTCGCCCTGTCCGCATACTTTTACACTGCTTCATGTTGTCGAATTTCGGCAGTACTTTGTTACGTCACTGGAACGTCGCTTCCTTGAAGCTTGTTGGCAACTCCATTGATCTAATAGGCTCCCGTTGCTCGCAGCAAGTGAGAATGGCGTCCGAGGAAGTGTCAGCTGCAACTTGAGTGAGGTGACCAACGTCGTTTGTAAAAGCGGGCTCGTGCGTTTATGCCCTTACGACAGCTGGTAAAAGTAGAGGTTGTGAGCTGCGGCTTGCCACCGGCAGCTGATTCAATTAGAGGTTTCTGAGCTGCAGGGTCGCTCAAGCTGCAGGTTACTAGCACACGTCCGAGGAATTGCAACAAACGCTCTATAGAGGTGACTTAGAATCTACCCCGAAGGTCTCATCAACAATCCACACGGAGTAGCGCTGTCTTTTGTACAAAGCCTACGTTGTTACTAGACCAATCATACCTCCTACGTTACGTGGAAGTCGCGTCTCACACGTTCGCATTATCGTCCGTCGTTGCAATGTTCCATCATCCTCAGACGCTTGGCTGAGAGTGCATGACTCGAATACAGATGGGAAGTTGTACGTGATACAACGTTGTGAATTCTGCCACATGGCGGCTCGTAAAACAGCTCGTCGCTCGTTGCGTCGTGACCACGTCCACATCCACACACTCAATTGATCCTTCTTCTACTTCTTTAAACGGACAGGTAGCGTCTCGCGATCCCAGTTATAAGCTCAACCTGCTGGTTTTCAGGTAAAGACGTTTGCTCAGGTTGTGCTAGTGGTCGCTACTATCCCTCACGACTTCACGACCAATGGCCAAATGGTAATACCCACTTGGTTCGACTAGCGCCTTACTGCGAACCGCGTTGGCAGCACGGACCTGACAGTGCATTGTTCACTTCCACATTTGCCTTCAAGCCCTCGAGTCGTCAACACTTGTAGTACAAGGCACACCATGGTTGCTACGATGTCCGACACCCGTCGCTTAATCTTCGCTCTTTGCTCCTTCATTGCTGCCCAGAGCAACATCGCTGCTTCGGCACTCGTCAAGGAGGGCATTGCTGTGCCTCAGTCTTCCGCAGCCGGCATTGGTGCTTGCCTCAAGAAAGCTGGTATCGAGAACTCGGTACCCACCACTTCAACATGGACGGTGGACACGGAAGCGTGGAACTCGCGTGTGAGCCCCAAGCCTTCGGCTGTCGCCTTCCCTAAGACGGAAGACGAAGTTTCTGCTGCTCTGAAGTGCGCTGCTGCCAACGGTGTCAAGGTGACGACTCTCGGTGGCAACCGGTCGTTTTCCAGTATGGGCTTCGGTCGCAATGACGGTGCTCTGATCATGAATCTGAAGTACTTCAAGCACCTGGAGTACGATGCCTCGACCCAGCTCCTATCGTACGGCGGTCCCGTCATGATCTCGGAGGCTACCAACTACATGTGGAACCAGTGTAATCGTACGCTCCCCCATGGTCGTTGCCCTGATGTCGGTATGACGGGTGTCGCCGCCTCGGGGTTCGGAACCTTCTCGCGTGCTAGCGGCACGGTGCTGGACAACCTCGTGTCCGTGCGAGTGGCTCTTGCTAACGGCACTATCGTGAATGCTGATGCCAAGCACAACGCGCCGCTGTTTTGGGGTGTTCGTGGTGCCGCTAGCTCTTTGGGTGTAGTTCTTGACTTCAAGATCAAGACCCTTGCACCTCCCTCGACACGGGTGACGAACTACACGATCTCTTTCGGTGAGAGCTACGAGGCAACGCAGCAGGACAACGTTGATGCTCTCATTGGTACGCAGAAGTGGGCCTTGAGCAAAGACAACAACGACCTGTTGTCTATTCGTTTCGGCATCAAGAAGTCGTCTACTCTGCAGGGCTTCTTTTACGGTAGCAGTGCGGAGGCAGCAAAGGTCTTTGCGTCGCTCAAGAAGTATCTGCCTACTGCAATGAACGTGACCACGACTGAGAACGACTTCTGGGCTTCGGAAGAGATTACGACGCCTGGCCTCGTGAAGCAGACGCTTACTCCTCGCCGTTACTTCTACATTACATCGGTGACGATTCCGCGAAAGACCCCGCTTACCAATGGTACGGCGTGGGAGCTGTTCTCCAACACCGCCTTTGCTCCTAAGCTACCGGACGCTTCTGCCTCGGGTTTTGTGGACATTTGGGGAGGCAAGTTTGCCAAGACCGTTCGTTCCGGTGATTCAGCCTGGAAGCACAACGACAACCTGCTCTTGGTTCGTTGGGACATGCGTTCTTCGGCCTTTAACGTGCCGTTTGCGGAAACCTCGTTGGATAACATGCGCACCAACTTCTACAAGTTCGTGAACGCGTACAAGGCTTCGGGTGGCAAGCCGGGTGGGTTTACGACGTACCGTGACGAGAAGTGGACGATGGCTGAGGTGGCCGAGTACTTGTACGGTGGCGGCAACTTTGCCAAGCTGCAGAAGGTCAAGACCGAGTACGACCCGAACGAGTTGTTCAACACGGACGCCCAGGCTATTCGCGCTTTGAAGAAAAAGACCAAGTAGACTTGGCTGGAACCTTTGATTGGGAAGGATCATCTTTGCTTGCTTTTTTGTATCTTTCGTAGCGTAAAAAGATGAAATGGATGCTGTACGTTTGCCTGGTTTCTATTCGTTTCACTGATGTACCTGGTCTCATGCGGCGTAGTGGCATCGAAAGTAACGAACCAAGGCTGTTGGTGCAACAAGTACAGATCGGTGTTACCACTTTAAAATGTTTACATGCCCTTGCTGCGAGCTCGAAGCTGATTAGTGACTGGTGCACGAAGTGATAGTCAAGCTTTCAAAGCACATCGCGTGTGTCTGTAAATTAAGGTTTTAGTACCGTGTACGTCCTACAACCTTTGATCTATTTTATCCCCTCCTAGCTAGATATGCTTTGCCTGTGCGATCCTTGAGCACGTCCCGATTTGTGACAATAAGAAAGTGTGAGTCGCACACCCACCCACCACAATGCCCCCATGTAATCAGCTTTAAGTGATCAAGAACGATCATAAAGCAACGAAGCAAACACTCGACACTTCAAGGCAGCAAAAGAATCGCACCTTCGGCAAACAGTAAACGTAAAGCGTATGGCATCCGTGGTACTTTTTTATGATCTGTCAGCGTAAGAAGTTATGGTCACTCGTCTCGCTCGGTGGTCGAGAAAGCTCCCTCAGTTTTGTTTGCCCTCTTCACCCCAATCGATCTTATGTCTCTAGCGCATTTTATTAATGACGTCGTTGCCGGGCAGAATCATCCGTCGTCTCCCTTTTCTCTCATCCTTCTCTTTGATAAATCAACAATTAGCTTCAACAAACGACAGTACAGCAACTCTGTAACTTCTCACTTCACAACGCACCATACGTATCCTAGCCGCCTCCCTCCTCATTTGGTACGTGAATTCCCAGGACTTAATTCAGCCCTCACGACTGAATTCTTTTTGATAAAACGGCGAACTTTAGATCGTGCCTCTCTATCTTACCTAAGCTATGCTAACGGTATCAGTGATTTTATGGTTGCTAGTTTACGTCATGGTCGTACGGATCGCTCGAAGTACGTCAATTTAGGTGCAGACGTGTCAGCATAGAACAGTTTCGAATACTAAGTCATCCATACTCATGTGTTTAGTCTGAGTACGGTACATCGCGCGTAGTTTTGTAACCATAGTTTGAAGCTAATCAAGGTTCAGCTCACGTAAAGAAGAACAGAATAGTTGATACGTATTACTTTTTGCTATTTTATTGTTTTGTTCCAACATCTAGTTGACTCTCTGGGCCTCGATTATCTACTTTGGTTTGATTAGAGCCTGGCTCCGAGTCGTGACCTATAACTCATTCGAACAAAGTGTCGTTGAAGTATAAAAGTTTTCTCGGATTTAAGATTGCTTTAGGTTCACCAAAATTGGCAGCACTTGTAGCAATCTTCACCGGAGCATTCTTAACTCGTACTATTAAACAATGGAGGACATTGATTACCTCCATGAGGTCCAACGAAGATTATAATTAAGCTGATTGATTTGGTAGGCGCTTAGCAATCAATCCTCATCGTACTAAAAGTCATGTGTGTGTTGAACGTACGCCTCGGGGGCTTCATGCAACTTCAAGTCAGTCAAGTCTGGAATACAAGACCAATAGCAGCGCTATGCCACCACACTTTGCTCCCAAGTACGACGATGCACTATTCCATCAAAAATGATCGCCTGCGTGGTACGAATGATCCGACCGTAAATGAGGATCACAATAGTCATGCCCGATATTTGAGGGAATAAAGATAACCAACGCGCGGTACGTTTTGAAAGGTTTCTTTTTCCAGGTGGGATTCGCTAAGACATGAGTCTCTTGCAAGCGTGAAAGCTGCTCAATCATGCATATAGCGTAAGGTCACGCTTCTTATCTATTTTGCGGGGTAATTGCACTCGTCGTACGAATTACCATGGGTCAAGAAGTATCATTGCTGCTATGCAGACTGATCAACTACCGAAGCGGTCCTTTTACTCATTGTATAACAAATCTACATGCTGTACTTACCCGGACCAACGCGTTCCACATGCATCTTTCTTCATACGAAGAGTGTAGCGGAGCTACACAGCTTCTTAAGTCAGAGGAAGACTTAACGCTCTACGAGCAACTTAGTTCTAAAGAACTAACGACTTTGCGAGTCAACAAGCTTTACAGCTTCAGATCCCTGTACCAGGGGACCTAACGATTCAGTGAATCGACAGCACTCAGTGCTCAAGAGTAGCTACCTCAAGGAGGTGTTGCTGACTATTAGTGCTCAGTGATCAACGATCAATACGGCTCGCAAGCCACGTGTCCTTTAGATCAAAATGGGAACTGATTTGATTTTTGTTAAAGCCTATAGAATATCTGAATCCTACTCAAAGATCTTTCGTACCTAATGGCTGACACTCGTCAGCCCCTACAAACCAACAAGATATTCTAGATCACCTTCACAAAGGGGTACCCTCAGGTGTGTAACACCTCTGGTACAAAGTACCATAATTTCGTGCAACCCCGTTACACCCTCCCCTACCAAACTGACGTTTGCCAAAACGTCAATCGAACTTGTGTTCTCAGCGAGAACAGTGTGCGTACGGTGAACCTCACGGTAACGTACGCTCTAGCATGATGTCATCAACACCAAACGAGTCAAAGGCTCTGTGTAACTACCTCGGAATAGAGGAGGAGGTGGACTATGGTAGCGATACCAGTGTCCGCGGTTATACAGGGACAATGTCCGGCTCACTGATGCCTGTGGCACAGCCTTCGAACACCCCAAATCCGTTCGCTGAACGTGGAGATGCGAGCGCGCCACCAGCGCAGCATGAAGCATCTGGGTCTGATGAGACTATCATCACGAACCCGCTCGATGAGAAACAACAATTGCTTGTCCAAAGAAAAGAAAACGCTCAGCGTCATGTCCAAATGGTTTCAACCATTGAACGCCAGCGTGACTATGTGTTCACCCCACCCAGTGTGGAGGAACGTCTACGTCAAGCGGCCGGCCAAACATTGGCAACGTGGGTCATTGGCCATGGTCCTAAGACTCCTGAGGAGGTGGTGAGCTGCCAGGCACTTCGTGAGAGGTACCTGGAGCCACACCTAACGACTCAAAGTTAATACAAGGCACGCCTTGACATGCAAGCACGTGGTACACCGGTTCCACCGATCAAGGGTATACCCATTCTCTTGCTCGCAGGCGATACAGTGAGCGAAGAAGATGATGCCTTCGTTCACTGGGTGCACTATGTGCGTCGTCTCAGCAACATCTTTGCTCTAAGGGCTAGTGCCCATGCGGCTGATGTGCGTCTCGAACGCAAGCTTCGGTATGATTATGCCAAGCTTAAGGCCAGAGGCCAATTGCGCAAGCGCACGCGCTATGCTTCGGCTACTAAGGTAGCCGCGAGTGCTGGTCAGTCTGTGACCAACAACCCGCCAACCCGCACCACTAGTGGTGGGGAACGGCCTCGGTCTCGAGATGGCCATGGCCACGATGCTCAAAAGCCTCCAAAGCATATGGGCAGTCTTGCCGAAGGGGCACCTCAAATTCCCATGAGTATTCAGACTCAGGGTACCCAAGCCACTTTACCAGATACTGGTATTGGCCCTGACGACGACGTCGTTTCAGTAGTCTCTCGATAAAAAACTGAAAATTCCCATGCTCATCGAGCAAAGTCGGTGGCGGCCGGTGTACCGGTGGAGGCCCACAAGAAATTGGTTCACGAAGTGAAGGGTCTTCAAGAGGCCTTGGTTAAGTCTCAGTGCATGCTGGATGCGATGCAAAGCCGTCTTCAGGCTATGGAGCAAGCTCAAACTCGGAGCGAGGCTCAGTTGGACTTGCTGATTCGTCTACAGCAATCCGGGGCAGTGCCCTTGTCGTCGGCGCAAGCGCCTCCAAGTTCACATGGGAAGGATCCCGGTACGGCTTAAGTAAGCCTACGTAGAACACTGGATGTGTGCGCAATTTGCGCGGGAGATTTAGCGTATACGCAAGTCCCTTCTTGGCCGTGACCGTAAACGGTCCAATAAAGCGTGGACGCAACTTAGTCATAAAGACAGCAGACACTACATTTGTAGATAGATTTTTAGCATTGAGTAATACTTGGTCTCCGACCTCATAACGCTCAATATAATTTCTGCCTTTGGCATCAGCTTGTTGTTTTTGGGTATCTTGGCTATCAGCCATTGCGTCACGCACATGTGGTAAGACATTTAATCGCGTTGCGAGAAACTCGCTTACCTGTTTTGAACAGTAGCAGGGCTGATATCAACAAGCCGATCGGCAACCTCTCCCCCACCAAGCCCTGATTCACGTAGTGATAGCGTTAACGGAACGCAAGGGTGAGTGAGACCGTTTATATAGAACGGAGTAAAGCCTGTGGAGGCATGAACAGCGTTATTTAACGCAAATTCAACAACAGGGAGCATGGAGCTCCAGCGCCTAGGCGTATCAGCGCAAACACGCAAAATGCGTTGATGACGCGGTTTACACGCTCAGTTTGACCGTCGGTCTGCGGATGATCCGCTGTGGACATGTCCAACCGAGTGTCAAGCACCTTGAAGATAGACTTCCAAAACTTCCCAGTGAAGCGGGGGTCTCTATCAGAGATAATTGCCACCGGCAAGCCATGTTGGCGAAACACACGGTCGATAAATAGCTTTGCTGTACCTTCAGCATCGATGCTATCCGGTACCGCCGCTAAGTGAGCCATATTGCTTAATTGGTCAACAAAGACCACAATACCAGTGTTGCCTTCCAAATCTTTCGGTAGGCCAAACACAAAATCCATGCTTATGGACTCCCAACAACCAGAGGGTACTGGCAAACTAGCCAGCAGCGCTGCCGCATGTGCCGAGGTTTGAACCCGTTGACACGTTTCGCACGTACGCACATAGGTGCGCACCCACTTATAAAGTTTGGGCCACCAATAACTTTGGCTCACCGAGCTATAAGTCTTCTCACGACCGATATGACCACTTAAAGCAGTATCATGTGCCTCGTAGAGGATTCGATACTTTAATTCCTCATCATGAGGTACAGCGATACGAGGCTTATCCTCAATATCCGTGCGATAGCACAACAGGCCATTATCGATGGAACATCAATGTAGCCTCGCACGTTAACGTGCCGACAATTCTATGTCCGAGTCTTTAAACTCATCGCTCTTAAGAGCACGGAGCAAAGCTACACACTGATCGTCCTTGGCATATGCCGCACGAATTAAGTCAGGGACTGACGACGACAGAGTCGTAACATGAGCAAGCTCATAGTCAGGTCGACGCGATAGCGCATCAGCCAAAGCGTTTTGTTTACCTGGCTTGTACTCCACCTCGAAGTTATATTCGGCAAAGAAGGAAAGCCAACGAGCCATTCTCTGTGAGAGATGAGGCGACTGTGTCGCAGTGCGTAATGACGCATGATCTGTATGGACCACAAACGGCTTTGAGCCAAGCAGATGTACTCTGAATTTGACTAGAGCGTACTTCATAGCAAGTAGCTCTTTATCATGAACAGGATAGTTCTTTTCAGCAGCTTTCAGCTGCCGAGACTCAAATGCGATGACGCGTTCGCGTTCGTCGACATCTGTTTGTAACAGAGCACTGCCTATGGCAAAGTCAGATGCGTCACAGACGACACTGAAAGGCCGACCAGAATCGGGCAAAGCCAATATTACGCATGAAGGAGACTCTCCTTAACTGCTTTAAAAGCATTATGTTCGGTGTTACCCCAACACCAACCCACATCCTTTTTAAGGAGATTGGACAATGGCCGAGCCATATCTGCGTAATTCGCACTGTACTTATGTAAGTAATTGGCAAGGCCAAGCCACTTACGCAGGTCCTTTTGGTTCTTGGGAACCGGCCAATCGACTATGGCTTTCACCTTAGCGAGATCCGCTCGAAGGCCTCGCTTCCCAATGAAGCACCCTAGAAAGGGAATCTCTTCTGCACCAAAGATGCACTTCGATGCGTTAGCATACAACTTATTCGTCCGCATACACTCGAGCACAACTCGTAAATGATCAATGTGGTTATCCACATCTGATCGCCCATTCATTGCACGACTATGGACAAAAATGTCATCAAAGTACGTTTGTGCATAGCCTCGATGAGGTCTGAATAGCTGCGTTACCAGCCGTTTAAACGTAGCCGGGGCGTTAGATAGCCCTTGTGGCATAACAAGCCACTCCCAGAGCATACCGCTCGGAGTACTCACCGCTGTTAGCGGAATATCGCTTGCTCGCATAAGCAGTTGGTAGTAACCGTCGACTAAGTCGAGTGCACTGTACAATTTACATCCTGCCATATTGTTCTGAAGCACATCCTTTCTAGTAATAGACGTATGCGCCGGTATAGTGGCTGCATTGAGCTTATTATAAGCATGCACAATATGCCACTTGCCATTTGGCTTTTTGACACAAAATGTCGGTGTTGAATGAGGAGAATTGCTCTCACGAACCATTCCAGCCGCGTGCTTAGCACGAAAGAATTCGTCAATGACGTCACACTGTTCTTTAGGCAAAGGCCACTGCCGTGTTACACAGTATTTAGTTCCAGGAACTAAGTCAATTTCATGACGTACACCTCTATCGGGAGGTAAGGCAGAAGGTGGGTTGTGACACACCACATCTTGAAATTCCTTACCTAAAGGATCGAACGGATCCAAAGGATCTTTAAGGATCGAAGATCCACTTCGTGCACCAAGTGCCGCCTTTGTATCCTCTAGGACAGACTCATCCATTAACGAGGAAGAATTCAACTCAGTATCAGGTCTGATGACCGCTAACTCGGATAACTCTCCTGCCTTCAAGGCCCGGCTAAACTCGCCATCAGACATTTCGTCTAGCTCACAAAGAGCGTCCACGGATGGAAGGGTTTCAAGGCAAACACTGCCATCAACCTGACCAGTCACTCCATTAACAAGTGTATATAGTGTATTACTATTATCACTATGTGACTGTGAGGACGCCTGGCGCTCTAAAGTAGCTACCCGCCGTCTCGATCGTCTCTTCGAGACCTTACACCCCTTAGAGGTCGGGACAATATTGTCCCCATGGTTACTACCGACCATAGTACGCTCTATACGAGAGCTTTTGTCTTGACCGACATCCGGTGAAGTGTTACATAACTCGAAAACTTCACCCAGTGGATTGAAACGTGCCACTCCACGTGTATTATGCGGGCCTAGCCCCAAATTTAACGGCGTCTCGTCAACAAGGTCATTACCGACATCAGGTTTGGTGCCCTCAGGGCCGTCCACGCTATACGGCGTATCGCCAACAACACCATTACCGGCGTTAAGCGTGGTGCCCTCACGGCCGTTCACACTATACGGCGTATCGCCAACAATATCATTACTGACATTAGGTGTGGTGCCCTCACGGCCGCCCACACTATATGGCGAATCGCTAACAACGCCATTACCGACGTTAAGCGTGGTGCCTTCACGGCCACCCACACTAAATGGCATATGGCCAACAATGTCATTACCGAAATTTAGTGCGGTGCTCTCACGGCCAACCGCGCTCGGTGTAGTTTTACGTGCCACCATACGCACATCAAAGGATTCACATCCTTGATCACTCGGCCCTAGGCCAACCATGCTTTCAGCATGCAGTGAATCGTTATCACAACGAGTAACGCTTAACGGAGTACGTGCCGTTTCACTAGTTTTAGACGAGCTAGGCTCAAAACTTATGTTTGTAACATTGGAGTTAGATAACTCAGACATTCCAATATTCAGCACATTGACATCTTCTGTCAAAGGCTCGCGCCAATAGCACTTTTGTTGCCTAGCGAAGGTGGGTTCACGACTCTCCAAAACTTCGCTAGGAACATTGCGCGTAGCGCCTAAGGTCTTAGACCTCCAATCAATCCATGGCTCATGGCTCATGGCGCTCAAGCCAAGCCATACCTAGGATGAGATCATATCTCGAGTCCAAACCTAGGACAAGATAGCGCTCAATAAAGTCAAAGTCTAAAAACTTTATACTTAAGTTCAATGGAACTTTAGGCACAGTAACGCGACTTCCAGTCGCTAAACGAATCTTGATAGAATCACCCTCATGCGCTGTTAGCGCCTCAGCATAGCTCTGAATCCCCTCATGAGAACGGAGCCG